ATTTTGTGTCATCATTATCTCACAACAGTTGTGATGGGTTAAAATAAACAGAGGTCGTAACGACATACTTTCATCCGAACCAATGAACAACCATTATAATTTTCGCCTGTACAGTTTTGTATATATATATATATTATCCCGCACTATATAACATAATAATGAATGCATGTGGTGGTTTCCTCGAGTGATACTTGTTTTGTTAACATGCCGAGCAAATCGGAGATGGGAATTTCCTCTGCCAAACTTGTGTGTATGTTGTGCCTATGATAGGATTTTGCGGACACGCTTACATGGGCGTTACACACATACATGATACGGTATGTGCCAATACGCCATCAAGTGATCTCTGCGTGGGGAGTAAAAATAATAAATCATCTCTAGTGGTATTACGATGCCCGTCTAACGCGACGCTACCCAGTAGCTAACAACACGGGAACGTGAACGAGTAAGATTAGAGTTAATTACTCGACATTTTGTTTTTTGGTATTACACATTTTGTGAATTTTCTCTACAAACACATGTAACAATCTTTTTTTTAATGTAGAATAAACGTTCGTCAAAAAATTGTGGGCAAAACATACCTAAACTAACCTTTTACATTTTTAAACTAAAAGCGCGGCATCCCCAAAAGTGAAATTTACAACAATTATATATATATGTGTGTGTATAATCATAACATAATATAGCGTCAATAGTCCCAAATCGCGTGAATTTATATTTTTTGATTAGATGTCAATACAAAAATGCGAAATAAATCGCCGCTTTCAAATAATAGTACGCCATGTTTGTGACGGTGGTGCTCGAACTGCGCATGGTCGGGTCACTTTGTTTAGGCTCAGACTAGTAATACAAGTCTGAGGTTTAGGTATTCAAAACGTGAGATGTCTGCGGTATTCAATTCAAATAAATAATAAATCAGACAGACACAATCGAACTCGATCAATAGATAATAGTATATAAATAGTGAGGTGACGACATGACGCGTTTTTAAAAAAGAAGGGTAAAGTCGTAAAGACTGTAGTCTCAATGAGGTAGCTGGTTATAAAAGAGATGGCGTACTCCACCGTCGCTGTTTACTGTTGTGCCAGTTGAGTCGCCCTGGCATAAATAAACAAACATTGCTACTCGATATGTATTGATACAGGTGAGGTGATATAGGCAGTCACGGATTGGGTCGATCAATAAAGCAGTGCCCTTGGTGCTGAGTAAGGGTGCCTGGTAGATTTGCATGTGTGCCCGCTGGCTAAACTGTTTTCGTATTGTGCATCTGTGCATAGCAGTATTGAGAGGCCGAGATTCAAGCAAGCAAAATAACTACATATTGTGTTCACTAAGTTTTTCGAAAGACCCCTTTTCGAAAGGACTTGTAGACAAATACAATCGTATATGCAACCAAACACTAATGGTAACTTTAGAATATACTGTGGAATACAGTATTTTCGCTGGAATTAATTTTCGCTGAAAAGGCTTTCTGGGCGTTTTGCTTGGAATTTATTTTCACTGATTTTTGATTAGTTTAATGTGAAATATAGGGGAAAAAAGTATATTCGCTGGATTTTATTTTCACGGAATCACCCCTTCAGCGAAAATAAAGTATTCTACAGTACTAGCTACCCGGTATTCCTACCTAGTCTACAACCACGTCCGTTTATTTGAAAAAAAAATGCGAATTTTCTTTAATTGATTTATTTGTGTCCGGTATAGCATGTTGGTATACATCCTAATTAATTAGGATTCATGACACACACAAGTTATTGATTTGATAAAACACTGAACGCGCATGCGCAAAGCTGACGTACTGGTAACATTACCTGCAAACCCAAACAAGAACAGTAAAATAAATACACTCGCAGTTTGTATTGTTCATTTCAAATGCGAAGACAGCAAATGTAATACCGATTGGTAAAACTGAATTTATTTAAACACAGTTTTTATTAATAGGTGAGTCCATGAACACCCGGTCGTTCCCGAAGCCAGCGGACATCTTCCAAATTAAGGACATGAGTGACATAATTAACGTCGTTTATTGATTATGGGTGAACCGTTCCTCATCAACGTTTGGTTTGTTTTGTATAGTAAAACATGAACGTTTTTTTCTTGGAAAAATTCTTTTTTTAAAAAAAAATGCAAAATATTACACTTTTGGAACTTGTTCATGGTTTATTTGCATTATTTCCATTTAAATAAATACGAATCATCATAATTGACCAATGAATCGTGACAACTAGTACCCGTATAAGTACCTATCTTAAAACCACTTAGTTATTACAAATAATCTTTCACTACAGGTAACCAAAAAAATCGTCTCAGGCTGATCAAACTGTTTCACCGTAGGAACCAATCGTAAATTGCTGAAAATAGACATCATTTTCATGGATGTCTGCCCTATTTGTTGTGTACTAGTAGTTCAGTGACTATTTGTCTTCGGCTATTTATTGAAAACGGTATAAAAACACGTAATAATGGATGTAAAATCAGGGAACTCTCTCTGATGCTTGGTTTTAATGAACACCTTCGGCTAATCCAATACAGTATCGACCTTTAGCGATATGGTCGTTATTGAGACCGACTTCAGCGTAAAACTTGACAGATGTCTTTTTTTCTTGTTGTCACATTTCACGCAATAGATTAGGTTGTGGTCGATCTGTGGCTATGACGAAACAACACAGGGCGCACTGTTTTAATCGCAAATGCCCGGGGCGTGTATCTCTGGACAATTGATAAATGAACTTTCATGCCGTGCAGCGCACGTACGAATTTCGTGTTTGCATATAATGTATTTTACATACTAGTACGTCGCATGGGACCAACATCCAACGCATCGTAACGACCACCGTCCCTTCATACGAGTAAGTTGTGATTTTGGCAGTTGTCGCACTGCGCATGTGCGACATTTGTGTTGATAAACATGATTGATTTGCCCACAATCCAATGCGACTCGCACTAATTACCGCCGGGGACTCCTTCGATTCACCTAAAAATACCTAATTAAAGCTTGGTATTTTCTCAGTTTGTACTCGTTGATCTGCAATATAAGGATATTGACTATTATTTTCGAGAAATTGATGGTTGTATTTTAATGGAAAGTCGCCATTTTGACACTATTATAATGCTTTTACCATAGGTTCCTATGGCAGAGATATTATGCAATATCTCAAAATCTAACCTGGTGACATGGACTTGAATAAACATATATTGTTAATGATTGAGTACTTTATGTTGTTCTGAATTGTTTCAAAAATCTGGGTTTTAAAAAGTGTAAACAAAAATAGTTTTCTTTAAGAATGTTTTCTATGGAATTGTCTTAAAAATATCGATTTTCAAGAAATACAAGTTTCTCAAAACACGCAAAATAGCGTTATTTCATTGTACCATGGGACATTAGCTTCATGATTGTACACAATAAATTAATGAAAATTGTCATGCAATTTATGACCAATTTTGTCAAAAATTATGAGTATGCTTGGACCTTAAGCTACATTGCGCTAGGAATTATGTTGCGATACTAGTATGTTTCCATCATCTTCAAGCTTAGGGGTTCCGAACCCCGTTTGAGAAGTTGAGAAAGGTGGGTTTTCGAAAACAAATTGTCATGGGTGATTAGAATATGTTAACAATTTCCAAGATGACTGGCAAATATATTAGGGGAAGTGGATACAATAATTGTCGGTAGGCATATGTAAATACAACTAAGAAGAACAATTTTCCAACCGCCCAGAGACCAAATAATAAACCGATGAAAGCTGCTAAGATCGATAATTATAATATATTGAGATAGTAGTAAGTAATCGTAGTCATTGGTAATTACTCAATATAACCAGACGTTTTCGACAAACTATACTTTCTCAATGATACGAAGTCTGGTTATATTGAATTATTACCAATGACTACGATTACCTACTACCATGTGTTAGGGGATGTCAAATAGTGCGTTCCGTCGTTATGACACTAATGTTATTAATTATACTACTGAAATGAAGCAGTGTATCAGAACTGTAAATCCAGTCCTAATACTACGCCTCCTCTGTGTTATTTATTTCCAGAGTCATGTCATTAGCCCTCGTTATTGATGCTCTTCATATCTATATATACATCAAGCATTCAGACCGACCTCTAAACAGACGTAATAACATGGTTTGTGTGAAGGCTGGACAAAGGCCTCATATAGATACAGGTTATTCTTCCAGTACGGCGAGGACAGGTAACTCGCGGCCATTGTACCATGCCCTCACAAAGAATAGTCTTTTAATAAACAAAGTTGCAGGTTTTCCTTTCAATCACAATGAAGTTATAAAAGACCCGTGAGTCGTAGGTAACCCTTTGAAGTGTAACATTAGGTGTTTTAGCTACGTGCAGGTATTCGCTACTGTTTTTTACATATTGTACTAGACTGCACTGCACTGCTCTGCACTACCATGCATTGCACTGCACTGAACTGCACTGCACTGCACTACTATACACGACACTACACGACATTACATTACACTACACTACTAACACTACACTACACTACACTACACTACACTAC